TATCATTTATTGGCACACCACTGAAGTTTGAAGTCACCATCAACTCCTGTATCAATCACCTTACCACGAACTGTCACCATTTTATAATCATAATTTTATACTGTTATACTTTGAAATACTTTTTAGCGCTGCACTTTTGTGAATTTTAGTTTTTATGAGGTTTTTACTTGGTTACCTTTATGTGCATCAGCTGCTAAATTATTAAGCTCTCACTGATTATATATTTTATTGCATAGATAAAGGATAAAGGATGATTGTAAGCTCGAAAGAGCAGGGCCCTCGATCCCCTCATGTTTTGCATTGTATTGGTATTGTTCTGTCACATGTTCTGTCCCCCTTTGTAATGTACAGCGCTGAGCGAACCATTGGCGCTTTATAAATACTGTATAATAATAATAATGATTAATAAGTATCTCCACAGTAACAAGTCCAAGAGAGAGATATGTATTAGGTTCCAGAACAGTCCACAAGATACTTTCAACAGATGACAAAATTCAGCATTGTTTAACGCCAAAATCACATTCTTAAATACTCTTAAGTGGGTAAACAAGTTCCCCTTTGAAAAATGCTATTTATCATAAACAAATACTCAATAAATACTTAGGGCCACTTGTCATCATTAGATACTGGCCAAATTGCATTTTTACCAAATTGCATTAACTTGCCCCCTAGATCCTTTCAAGTCTGATTAGACAAATCTGCATTTTACTTTTGATATGTAAAATAGCCTCACATACCTATGTACATATTAACCACTTCCCTTTACAAACAGCAGGACGGTGGCAGTTCATAAATGGCACCCGCATTTTCAAGCTGTTGCACGCTCCCTGGGAGCGCGCAGCACCGCGATCCGGGGCCCGCTGTGTCCTCCGGATACAGTGGAACACCGATCATCATACGGGACCTCTGAGCAAGGTCCCGATCATGTGATCACTGAATGGCCAATCAGTGATCATATGCAGAGTAATGAGCAAGATGTCACTTATGACATCATTGCTTACTATGTGTGAAATCTGTGAATGATCACAGAGGTCACATGGTACAAGGCTATTCACAACAGCTTTGTACCATGTGACAAGCTGTGACCAATCACAGCTCACACAGCATTTCTCAATGGCTGCAAGAATGCAGCCAGAGAGAAGGAGAAATTATTGCTTTTACAGCCTTTATGGATGTAAAAGCAATAAGTGTATAAAAAAAAAAATCTTCATCACCCCCTACAAGTAGGACAGTGTCACCATGGTGACACTGTACTGCTAGGGTGACAGTATGTAAAAAAACAAAACAAAAAAACAAATAATATAAAAAAAAATGTAAAAAAACATTTTTCAAAATTATAATTTTTGGTTATAAACTAATTTGGGTTTTTTTTTTTTTTTTTTTTTACTAAAAGGTAACTGAATAAATTTTGGCTAAGATTTATGATGAAATAATATTTATTTGCAAAATTTTCCAAATTTTTGGACTGTTTCATTTATATATATATTTATCTGTCTAAAAAAAAAATGCTAAAAAATTCATATGGATACAGTGTTGCATGACCGCGCAATTGCCATTCAAAGTGTGATAGCGCTGAAAGCTGAAAATTGGCCTGGACAAGAAGGGGGTGAAAGTGTCCGGACTTGAAGTGGTTAAAACACTGTGTGTATGTGTGGGTGTGTGTGTGTATATATATATATATATATATATATATATATATATATATATATATATATATATATATATATCTGCCTACACTAGGGATAATACTGCTAAGGTCCTCGCCATCATCCACTCTGCTCATTCCAAGAAAATCCCTCTTTTAATCCTATCCACTTATGCTGCAAAGGCATTTGATATGGTTACTGGACCTTCCTGATGGAAACCCTTCGACACTTAGGCCTAGGAAAGTGGATGATGCATTGGATAACCACCATATATTCACATCCCTCTGCACAAATGAAAGTAAATGGTCATCTCTCTGCTCCATTTCAGATTAAGAATGGCACATGACAGGACTGCCCCCTGTCACCACTGATCATTATACTGACATTAGAACCTTTTCACTGCAAGATCAGAAACCATTCAGACATAACCAGACTGCTTATAGGGACATCTTTTCCCCCTGAAAGTGGTGGCATATGCTGACATTTTTTTCCCTCACAAACCTATTTATTTCCTTGCCAAACCTTCTATTTGAGTTAAATGCATACAGGAGTCTGTCACACGTCCCGATTAAAAGTACAAACCTCTGAAAATGTATCTGCCTACCTCTCTGGCAATCACCTGAAGACTAACTTTCTATTCAAGTGGGCAGTGTCTCACATTAGGTATCTAGGCATTAACCTCCCGAGATGCATAGAGAATTTTTCTTGTTTGGCAGATGCAACATAATTAAGAAGCATATTATCCGCCGTCTGCTTTATCTTTTACAAGCACTACCAGTGTGCATTCCTGAAGGCCATTAATAAAATGTTCTTAACTTTTCTATGGTCTTATAAACCACCATGCTTCCTGCAGTCCATTCTATGGCTTCTAAAACTGCCCTTTGAGCAAGGTAATCCACTGGTGCCTTCATGCATCTTCAAAACAATGGATGTCCATAAAACAGGCTGTCATAGGTCTCCCTCTGGAGACTCTGCTTTGGTGCCAGAATGAAGTCCCTGCTAGTCTCAACCTACTGTGGGAGAAACTTGGTGCATATGCTCCAAGGTCTTTCAGAAAACAGCGCTTTCTCCCAGCCCCAATCGGCTCTTTTCCACCATAGGACCTTTTAGTCTGGGCCTTTTCGATACAGGCTTTACAACATGGAAATGAAATGGACTATTCCAAGAGAGGCACTTTGTGGCTGGAAGACGCTGGACCTCAAGATCTCAGTTGTTTGCCAACCCGGCATATGCCGCTCTTTCCTTCTGGCACAAAATTCAACCCTCACATTTTCTGGCCTCCTTACCATCAGCTTCACTTTTCACCCATTAGCTCACTTTAAGTGAGAAAAAATACATAGAGAATATTTAAAATAGTAAAATCCACCACAGTTATTCCTTTCAATTGAAATTCATTAATTAAGAATTTTCATGAATATGAATGAATAAATAATGAAAAATGTCCCAAAAGGAATTTAGTAAAAATACGTATTATAAAGATCAATTTGACCACCATCAGCCAAGGACCTTTTATCATGGTAAAAATAACACAGATAATTGAGCTGGTTGATGTGCAGACTTTCATTCTAACGCAGTGAGTGCATTCATGTGTGTTTTTATCGATTTCAGTAAAACTACACCTAGTCAGTGGCACCTTCTCTGTTTCTCTGTTTTCTATATGGGCATTAGGGAGATTCACCAAAGATATTGCTCCAGTGATGTTCTGCAGCTGTAAAAAAGTGTTTTAGTTGTCATTGGACTTTGAATGACTTATATTACTATTAACAGAAATTTAGAAGTGTACATTCTTTTACGTTTAAACCAAACTTTAAATTTCTCTTCTGAGTCTGAGTCCACCTTTTCTGAGTTTTAGCTCACCTCTTCTGAATCTGAGCCTGCCAGCCTTTTGCCAGTGCCATGCTCTCCCAAGTCCCTGCCAGTCCCACAAGTACCCATTGCCCTGTTAGCTATGACCTTTTTTGAGAAGTTTTCCAAGCTTCCATCTGCTGTACAGCCAGCTACCAGTCTTGTTCCTGTATCATTGGTGACTGTTTTGACATCCTTCATGTTGCTGAGAAGCATATGTGGGGGGATTTAATAAAACTGGAGCATGCAAAATTTGGTGCAGCTCTGCATAGAAACCAGTTGGCTTCCATGTTTTATTGTCAAAGCGTAATTGAACAAGCTGAAGTTAGAAGCTGATTAGCTACCATGCACATCTTCATCAGATTCTGCTAGCTCCAGTTTTAGTAAATCTTCCCCTATGTGTCACTCTGATGTTCAATTCAGCCCAGAATGCCTGATTGATACTTTTGTTCAAGTGTGTCCTGATGCTGCCAAAACTCTCTAGCAATACACACCAAACTGAGCATGTGCGGAGTGACTCCAAAACCTCTGTCTTATCAGGAGAAGAGTGGGGCACAATGGAAGAAGGGGGGATAAGAGAAGACAGGATCAAACAGCCTTTTTACACAATGCAGAGGACTAACCCCTTAGGTTCCATAGAGAGTATAACAAGCATACTTGGCTGCATATACACACTGATTTTACTCTTGTGGGTTTAGTAACACTTTAAAGCGATTCTAAAGGTTCTTTTTTTTTTATAAAATAACAAACATGTCTATACTTACCTGCTTTGTGTAGTGGTTTTGCACAGAGCAGCCTGGATCCTCCTCCTTCTCAGGTCCCCCGCAGGCTCTCCTGGCTCCTCCTGTCTGTCGGGTGCCCCCACAGAAAGCAGCCTGCTATGGGGGCACCCGCTGCTCCGTATGTCCATTCACACATGGAGCTGTGGCTTGCCCCCCCTCCTCATTGGCTGACTGGCTGTGATTGACAGTAGCAGGAGCCAATGGGGCAGCAGAGACCCATAACAGAGGAGGCTGTCATTCACATCGCTGGATCGCGATGAGGCTCAGGTAAGTATTGAGGGGGTTGGGGGAGCTGCTGCACACAGAAGGTTTTTTACCTTCATGCATTAAATGCACGAAGGTAAAAAATCTTCAGGCTTTACAACCACTTTAACCACTTGCCTACCAGGCACTTATACCCCCTTATTTACCAGGCCAATTTTCAGCTTTCAACGCTGCCGAATTTGATTGACAATTGCGCGGTCATGCAACATTGTACCCATATGAAATTTTGATCATTTTTCTCTCACAAATAGAGCTTTCTTTTGGTGGTATTTAATCGCCACTGGGCGCTTTACTTTTTGCGCTATAAATAAAAAAAGTGCAAAAAATTTGAAAAAAAAAAAAAGTTTCTTTGTTTCTATTATAAAATTTTTCAAACAGGTAATTTTTCTCCTTCACTGATGTGCGTTGATGAGGCAGCACTGATGGGCACTGATAGGCGGCACTGATGGGCACTGATAGGCAGCATTAAAGGGCACTGATAGGCAGTACTAATGTGGTTGGCTTGGATAGGCGGCACTGATAGGCAGCACTAATGAGGTGTCACGGATAGGCGGCACTAATATGCAGCACTGATAGGCGGCACTGATAGGTGACACTGATGATGGGTACTGATAGACGGCACTGACTGGCATCACTGCTGGGCACTGACTGGCAGCACTGACTGGCACAAACGCTGGGCACTGACTGGTGGCACTGACTGGCAGCACTGCTGGGCTGCACTGGTGGGCAGCACTGGTGGGTGGGCACAGGTGGGTGGCACTGCTGGGCACAGGTAGGTGGCACTTCTGGGCACAGCTGTGTGACACTGCAGAGTGGCACAGGTGGGTGCACTGCTGGGCACAGGTGGGTGATCTGCTGGGCACAGGTGGGCGGAGCTAGTGGGCGCACTGCTGGGCACAGGTGGGCGGAACTTGTGGGTGGCACTGCTGGGCACCGATCATCAGGGCACTGATCATCAGTGCCCTGATGATCGGTGCCGATCCTCGCGGTGACAACTGCCAGTTCTCGGCAGTACTTTCCTCATGATCTGACAGCGTGAGGAAAGTGCAGCCGAGAACCGGCACTTGCATTTCCCTGTGATCAGCGTGTCATTGGATCACGTGGTAAAAGGCCGCTGTGATTGGCCTTTTACCACATCACGTGATCAGGACACATCACGTCCGTAGGACACAGCGATCACGGAGATCGCCGGGTGCGCGCCCCCTGGGGCACGCAGGAGAGCGCGTTCTGGGAGGCCGTCATATGACGTCCACCCAGAACTGGCCGGCCGCAGTGCAGCCGTCATTCGGCTATCTGCGGTCGGCAACTAGTTAAGCTCTACCATCATGGGGGAGTAATTTGATAGGATCATTAGCACAATGAAAAATCTTTTTAGTATAGCCAAATAAAGCTAGTCAAGGAAGTAACAATCAATTCTGTTATATAAATCACTGTGAGGGTTAGTAGAAATAATACTCCCCTGATTCGTGGTGGAGTTTTCTCCATTAATCCACCAAATGAAAGTGGTGAAGTAGTTTTTTGCAGTTGTTTTTTGTTTTGTTTTTTATAAATATTTATTGATTTTCAACAAAATTCATTTTACAATCATTTTCTCCAATAAAAAAGAGAAACAATATCACTTTACAACAATAATTATCTCCCTAAATGTCTATATCCCCCCCCCCTCCCATCTACCCTCTTCTCCCTCCCTCCTCCCCCCCCCCCCCCCCCACACTCCCATCCACCCACTCTGCATTTTTCCACCTCTCCCTGTATAAAGCAATCAGAGTATTCGTCTTATTAGATGTTATATCTTCATATATTTCACCTTCACATTAAACTCTTCCCATTTTTTTACATAATATGTCCCATCTTATCTAAATGCATATAATAAAGTTTCTCCATCTCAGAAATCTGATTCACTCTAACTACCCAATCCTCTTCCGTCGGCACATCCTTTTTTCGCCAGAACCTGGGTATCAATCCCTTTTGCTGCACTTAAAAAATACCATGTACCCGAATCCTTATATAATTTCACTGATAACTCTGTATTATGGAAAAGACAGTTCTCTGGATCTAATCTAACGTTGATTTCAGTAATCCTCCTCACTAAGTGAGCTACTTTTTTCCAAAATACTTGTATTTTTGGGCACTCCCACCATATATGATACAATGTGCCTATCTCTCCACAACCCCTCCAACACAATGGTGAATTCACCCCATTCATTTTATGTTCAACTTTCGTAATGTGTAATGTATTTCCACCTCTCGCATAATTATATTTTCATGAATTAATCTATATATTTTCTTCTGCTTCCCCTTATCTATTACCACCCCCAAATCTCTTTCCCATTTCCCTATATACAATGGTTTTGTGCTGGTGTCTAACTCAGTGAAGAATTTATATATTTTAGCAATTCTGTGTTTCCATCTCCCCGTGATTCTAACAACCTCTCAAATGGATTCCAATCCTTTCTAGTTCTCAAAGGTTTTGGGAGTTTGCCAACAAAGTGTTTCAATTGGTGATATCACCACTCATCTACCTTAGTGAAAACTTCTTTTTTCTTTTCCAACTCCTTAAATGATCCCAATTCCTCCCCCACCATTATATCTCTCAATTGCGCATCCTCCTTTATAATCCATTTTCCTGTAATACCCTCCCTACCTGGAGAGAAAAACTTTGTGTTCCTTAGTGGCATTAACAGTGAATTAAATACCCACCCCTTCTGTCTGTGCAATACATCCCAAACTCTTAAAACATTTAAAGTGTACAAACTTGTGCTAGCATCTAATCCCCTATATTGTGCAGGCACCCATATACTCCTACTCAAATCCGTTCTGCTCAGTGCATTTTCGATTTTGACACAACTTTTCCCTGGGTTGTGCGTCCAATCAAAAAATCTCACCATTATTATATATATATTATATATATATATATATATATATATATATTATAAATATCTCTTAAAATCTGGCACACCCAAACCACCCCTTTCTTTATTTCTACTCAACGTTTCATAACATATTCTAGGTTTTTTATTCCTCCATATATATCTTGTCATCATTTTTTTAAGTTCTTTAAAATATACTTCTGGAAGTTTGATTGGGACCATATGAAATTTATATAGGACTTTGGGCACAATTACCATTTTTATCAGATTTATGCGTCCTATCCAAGACGGGTTTCCTCCCCCTAATCTCTTTAATCCTCTTTAATCTTGTTTAATAGTGAAATATAGTTTAATTTGTACAAATTCTTATATGAAGCAGAAAGTTTTACCCCTAGATACTTTAATTCTTTTTCTCTTCATACAAAGGGAAATTCCACTTGTATTTTTTCTTTTTCACTGTTTGTAAGATTTATATTTAAAATGTCCTTTTTTTGTTGCTTTGATTTTTTTAAATTTGATAACTCCCCATATTCCTTCAATATCTTCATTAAATTTGGGAGTGTTATCCTAGGGTTTCCCACATAGAACATCAAATCATCCGCATAGGCCGCCACTTTATGTTCTCTATCTCCTATCTGTATTCCCTTTATATCTATGTTCTTCCTAATTGTAGACAGCAAAGGCTCCAAAGACAAAACGTACAAGAATGGGGCAATGGACATCCCTGTCTTGTTACATTTGACATCCTGAAAAACTCTGACCTTTCTCCATTGACCATAATAGCTGCTGAAGGCTTACTATATAACTTTCCAATCCACTCTCTCATTCTAACTCCCAGCCCTAGAGCTTCCAAGGTGTCCATCATGAATCCCCAGTTCACTCTATCAAATCCTTTTCCGGCATCAATTGACAAACACCACCGGGGTTTTCTCTTTTCTACTTTTCTGAATGAGCAACAAAGATCTCAACCCGTTGTCTCTACCTTCTCTCCCTGGGACGAACCCCACCTGATCCCTATGTATCCAATCGGGCATTAAATCTTTCAACATGTTTGCTAATACCTTTGTGTACAATTTAGTATCTATATTCAGCAATGAGATTGGTCTATAGTTTGAACACTGGGTGACATCCTTATCTTCCTTATGAATTAGAACTACATTAGCCTGTAGGGATTCTCGCCTCATTTCCATCTCACCCCCTAGGGCGTTCATATATATCTTCAGTTTAGGTATTAACAATTCTTTGTATTTTTTATAATATCTCACAGTATACCCGTCTGGCCCTGGACTTTTCCCCGTCATAGTACTTTTTTTTTTTTGTTTACAAACGATTTTATTGTACATAAGTAGACAGTAAAACAACAGCACATTTTTAAAGTGATATTGTCAGCAAAAACAAGGCACTTTTGAAAAGTACAATACATAAAAGTATAGTAACATAACAAAGAAGAAAAAGAGGAAGTTACAAGTGCATGAAATACGTAAACGTATTTCATGCAGTAAGTTGAGTGATACATCTGTTAACAGTATATGTCAGCCAGCTTTTACTAGGGATGTTGTGAAGCATGTAGTAAGTTTCTACGATCTCTCCATGACTCCCATTTTTTATCGTATAAGTGCATCTTATCCAGTAGGGTATAATGAATGCGTTCCATAAGCATTACAGCGTCAATTCTGTGTAAAACAGAGTACAAGGGTACAGCATTGGACCTCCAATGTAGGGCAATAGACCATAAAGTGGCAACACATAATGTATGTATCAATCTCAGATTGGCATCAGAGACCCCTGGGACATGGGCCCCCAATAAACAGGTCTGTATGGACAATCGTATCGGGGTACCCGACAGTGAGGTAGCCACCTCAGAAATCTTACGCCAAATCAAAGATACGGTCGGGCAATCCCAAAATATATGAACCAAAGTACCTGTGAGGCCACAGCCCCGGAAACATAAAGGGGACGTTTGTGGAAACAATACATGTAGTCTTGACGGGGTATAATACCATCTGGTTAGAACTTTTAGGGCCGTCTCACGAACCAAAAGAGATCTAGAGCTCTTGCATATATTATCCACCATGGAATCCCAATCCTCATCTGAAAAAGTGATACCACAATCCTCCTCCCATTTTCGTCTGTACAAAGGGGGAGCATGAAAAAGACAGATCAAAAGTTGGTGATAAATTTCTGAAATAAGACCCCTACCCCTGGGAGAGTCACGGCTGATACGTTCAAAAAAGGAAATCGGAGAAGATGGGGTAAGGCCAAAGTGCGCATTAAAAAAGTGCCTAATCTGTCTATAACGAAGGTACTCACGAAGAGGAACATCAAATAACACGCGCAGCATATCAAAGGTAATGTAAGATCCTCCTCTTTGGAAATCAGATAATCTGATAAAGGATCGATCATACCACCAATGAAACATGTGAGGGGAGGAGAAAGCTACAACAAAAGTAGGATCACCAAAAAATGACACACCTGGGGGAATAGGAGAGACTAAACTCAATTTAGATTTGTATTTGGACCAAAGTGTCAGCGAGTGGGTCACTATGGAGTTATGAAAAAGTAAGCGATCGGGGGGAGATTTTTGACCATAAAATTCCCGGTAAATAAAAAGGTCGTATCGACTGAGACTCAAACTTGATCCATGGGATTTGAGAGTTAATAGTAGCCCATTGTGATAATTGCGCAAAACGAGCCGAGAGATAATATAGCCAAAAATTAGGAAGACCGAGACCGCCCGTCCGTTGTGAACGATACAAAATAGATGAGGCAAAACGTGGATGCTTATTTCCCCAAATGAAATTATTAATAGTCCGCTGAAAGTGATCCAAAAACGTTTTTGAGACCGGAACTGGAAGTGCTCTAAAAAGATAAAGCAGTTTAGGCAAGATATTCATTTTAACCGCCGTGACTCTTCCCAGAAAGGAAATATGATAACCATGCCAAATCTTCAGTAAAGTAGAGAGACGT